CTGCCAGTAATATTTACTAGTAGCGAGGGGACAATACAGTGCGCTACTAATAATTAGCAGTAGCGTGGGTCAAAATAGCGCGCTACTAGTAAGCGTCTATCTATAAGCTATTTCCTAGTAGTGTGGTCGTCACCCGGTACTTCCAGAACAATTCTGGACTCCGAGACCCTTCGTCCAATATATCGATCTTCACCTCCGGACCATTCTGGAGTTCCTCGTCACATCCGGGATCTCATCCGGGACTCCGAGCAACCTTCGGTAACCACATACTATTCCCATTACAACTCTAGCGTCACCGAACCTTAAGTGTATAGACCCTACGGGTTCGGGAATCATGCAGACATGACCGAGACACCTCTCCGGTCAATAACCAATAGCGGGATCTAGATACTCATATTGGTTCCCACATGTTCCACGATGATCTCATCGGATGAACCACGATGTCGGGGAATCAATCAATCCTGTATACAATTCCCTTTGTCCATCGGTATGTTACTTGCCCGAGATTCGATCGTCGGTATCCCCGTACCTCGTTCAATCTCGTTACCGGCAAGTCTCTTTACTCGTTCCATAACACATGATCCCATGGCTAAGTCCTTAGTCACATTGAGCTTATTATGATGATGCATTACCGAGTGGGCCCAGAGATACCTCTCCGTCATACAGAGTGACAAATCCCAGTCTCGATTCATGCCAACCCAACAGACACTTTCGGAGATACCTGTAGTGCACCTTTATAGCCACCCAGTTACGTTATGACGTTTGATACACCCAAAGCACTCCTGCGGTATCCGGGAGTTGCACAATCTCATGGTCTAAGGAAATGATACTTGACATCAGAAAAGCTCTAGCAGACGAACTACGCGATCTTGTGCTATGCTTAGGATTGGGTCTTGTCCATCACATCATTCTCCTAATGATGTGATCCCGTTATCAACAACTTCCAATGTCCATGGTCAGGAAATCATAACCATCTATTGATCAACGAGCTAGTCAACTAGAGGCTTACTAGGGACATGTTGTGGTCTATGTATTCACACATGTATTACGGTTTCCGGTTAATACAATTATAGCATTAACAATAGACAATTATCATGAACAAGGAAATATAATAATAACCATTTTATTATTGCCTCTAGGGCATATTTCCAACACCTATAGGTCACTCCAAGGCTGTTGGGATGTGATCAAGCCGATTTGTATCCGTTGGAGTGGTTGCTTGGAGCAAGTCCATAATGCACCTCCAAGTGGTACCGTTGAAGCCGATTATGTGAGTTTGTTTTCACGTCCCAAGTAGTACAAATGATTTGTAGCCATTGGAGTGGTTGCAGGTGACATACTTTGACATTGTTTTCATTTTGTAGGTCAAAACTACGCAAGAAAGGTACAAGGACATGGAAGCTTCCAATCGCAAGTCATTTACACTTGAGCATTGTTGGAAATTGCTTCAAAATAGCGAGAAGTGGAAGATGATTGACAAAGAATCCCCGCCGAAGAGAGGTTCACTCACCAAGATGGATGATGATGATGGCCCAAGAAATAAGAACAAGCCCGATGAAAACAAGAAGGCCAAGGACAAGATCAAGAGGGAAGCGAAGGCATCAAGCTTGCGGGACAAGATAGATGCCATGGTGCAATCAAATGAGTTGATGGTGGCAAGACATTGGAGGCAAAGTAGAAATTGGCCGACAAGAAGGCGCAAGAGAAGCAAGAAACGTGGAATTACTCAAGGAAGAGGGGTTGCACAAGGCCGCCATTGAGGAGAGAAGAGCCCTTGCCGAGGAGAACAAGGCCTTGGCCAAGCTTCTTCAAGAAGAGAACAAGATCATGACGATGAACTGCAATGACATGGACGACATCACCAAAGAATGGCATGATATTGCAAGGAGAGTGATCTTGGAGAGAAGGAAGCAAACGACGATGGGTGGTGGCTTCGGTGGTGGTGGTGGCGATGGTGATGATGATGGTCATGGAGGTGGCGGTGACTGTGAATATTTTGTTTTATCGTTCGGCCTTGCAGGGTCTGTTCGGCCGCAGCCCGCGCCAGCCCTCAAAACACGTTTTCCGTGGTCTGTGTACTCACTTTAAAGGTCCGCGCGATAAGGGGTCTGGTGGAGATGCTCTGAGCCTTCCAAGATTTGCTTCCCGTAACTACGCAATAGGTGTGGGCAGCAATTATCAAATCATTCAAAAGAAAAAGGAAAGGGGATTGCTACCCAAAGGGTGAAGGGCTTGCAAGAGGATGGCAATCCGATCATATTGATTGATCAACATGGTGGCTTGGTTTCAGAGAACTAGATGATACCCCGCATGTTGTTGCGAGAACTTGTGCTGCTATAAGGAGGGGGTTTATCAAGTAAAACGTAGTGAGACCATTAAAGGGGTGTATAAATAAATATATGTCTGTTTGAACCTTTGATAGAATGATATGAGGAGTTGGAAAAATTGGAGTAACATAGTCAATAAGTGCATTGGTAATGTGTTGACCAATTGATATATTATAAAATATAAGGTTTTAGGGCATTGGTTGGGCGTATTAAAATTAAGTAACAATTCATATCATTCTGCCCTTTATGGTCATTCCTTGTGTAAGATCCAAATAGAGTATTTAAAAAGAAGATAAAAAAAGAGTTGGCCGCCACTTTAGTGGACTCTTATGATTACGAAATGGCAACCAATGGACTCTTTATTTGATAATGTTCATGGTCGAGAAACGGGCAAGATGCAAGTCATGAACGGGTTATTGATTTGAGACGACCAATCCATATATTCCCGACACCAATCAATAGTAACTTGCTCGCGAAAACAATCCATAGATCTATCATCTTCAGTATTGGACAGAACATGTAGCTAAAGAACCTGACATGATACTCGATTCAGAAAAAAGTGACGGGCCTTTTTTCACCTAGGAATTATGCTAGCATGGTACATTATACTTACAAAATTAACTTGTTCGCAACTGATTTTGATGCAAATATAAGAGAACCATGGCATATTTCAACACAATAATTAGTACCAAAAAGCTGCAAAAATAATTAGTAGAAAAAAGCTGCAAAGCAAATGTTTCTTCGATATGTGCCATATATGAACTCAATATGCCATCCTAGTAGTATTTTCGCAAAAGAAAGAGAATATGCAGGTACAAATTGTAATCTGGCACGTAAACATATATAAATTAGTAGCCTAAAACCAGAGCGATGATAGCTAATAACTGAAATCAGTCACATATACATTCACGTGCGCTGTAGTTTATTTAAGGGAACCCTACAGAATAGGTGAGCAAAGACATACCAAGATTCAGGTTCGACATGACATACGATAGGATGATTTTTCTTTGCAAGCACTCCTGTACAGTTCCATAGGATAATCTCATATGTTCCACCTGAAGATAGTGAAGAGACAGCCGTGCTTACTAATAAAAACAATACCAATAAACATCATCAAGACTGAAGCAGTAGTGTTTTCGACTTTCCATTGAAGCCAAACTAAGACCTACGATTAATCTTTAATAATGCAAAAAAAAACAACGGAGAATGGAGAACCTGTCACCAATTGACCACAAATCGAGCCATTGCTTCAGTGCCTTAAAGGCACCTACCTTTGTGTTTATGACATATGAGTCCAACAGATCGGATCTGTTGGACTCATATGTCATAAACACAAAGGTAGGTGGATCTGTTGGACTCATATGTCATAAACACAAAGGTAGGTGCCTTTAAGGCATCGAAGCATTGCCCGAGTTTGAGGCGTGGACAACCCTGCCAAAGTTTTCTCTGAGGTCTGATAGAGCACATCTCCACCACGACCATGGGGAACGACCTGGGAAGTGGCATCGCAGTGGAAGCGCACATACTCGCTATGGTGGCACCTCGGTTCTGCCCCACGGCGGCGCCGTGCGGAGCCACTTGATGCGTCCCTCTCCTCTGTGCGTCCTACCCAGGCAGACCATCATCCTTCATCGTTGGATTGGATCTCCCTAGTGGATCACGCGAGGGGATTAATAGCTGAGGAAACTACCAGAGAATGAAGAGACGGAGAAGGGGATTAATAGCTGAGGAAACTACCGGAGAATGAAGAGAAGGAGAAGGATCAAGGAACAGACACAAATAATAATCTAGTGGGGAGATGAAACAACATGCCTTATTACGGATAGAAAGGTTGGTCTTCATTATCGATCAATTCACACCCGAGAAGGTGGACGTACCGTGGGGAATGCATGAGTCTGATGTGGCTGCATTGCTACGTGTACATTTTGGACGAGACTTGCCTGCTCCACGCGTGTGTGCCCATCCGTGCTCCCGCATACGTGGCTTGATTTGATTGAAACAAAATAAGGCCCGGCCCCACCTCCTTAAAATCAGGGAGGAAGATGATTAGATTAAAAAGAAAAAAAAAAGAAAAAAGACAGCCGTAGGATGAAGTGAGAGCACGGATAGGAGCACGGGAGGGAGCAGGCAAGCAGGATCCGTACATTTTGCATGACAATATAGGATGACGTGGCACATCGTTGGTATGGACGGTGTGCATGGTGTAAGAATAGGTAGTGGGGAGCAACTTTTTAAAAATTGGTAGATTCGTCGGCCACGTTTGCATCCTTCGTGACACCAACCCTGAACCCCTGCCTCCGATTCAATTTTCTGGAAATATATGAACGAGCACCATTCGATCTCACGAATGTCATTCAGTTCAGTAGATCGTTCCGTTGGTAAGACCCTGAACCGCCGACGTGCTACTGTGCCAGAGGGACCTCACTGTGCACTGGACGGACATTCTTGCCTCCCCCAGCCAGCATCTTCAGGAAATAAAAACCAAAACGGGAGAAACCACATTGCACCATGTATACATCCGAATTCCTATTTCATTTCTATTTATTGTTCCTTTTCATCATCCCTAATTCCATACTAATGAATTTGGTACAAGAGATGAATCATCCGCAAAGTTGATGCTCTAGCTCAAAATTTACAGTTGAAGAAAGCGAGTAATGCGGTTATTCCAGCTATTCAGGACCCAACAAGGCCCTTGTGCCGAGCATAAGCGACAATAGTGACGAACATGAAAGCACAAAACAGCCCTGATACAATAACCACCTGCAACATGGCAAACACAATGTTATGGACGAGTGAGGCGATTACTATAATACTTCACAATCAACGAACGCTAAATAGAGCATGTCAAGAAAAAGTGATGCCATTTACCCATTTGAAGACATATCCATGGCCGTCGTTCCAGGTGTAAGGTATGTTCATACCAAAGACTCCAGCAACCAATGAGTAGAGTGACAAGCAGACGGTCCCAGAACTCAAGAATAGCTCTAGCTGCACGAAGCAAAGAGAAATTAAGTTTTACTCTGGCAGAATGTTTAACATGTAACGAGCCAATGAATATTCAGATTATAGAATTTAAATGCAATAGGACCAATGTGGTAACTGGTAGGAACTAGGACAGTCATCTAAATCAGACAAGTTTGTGAAACCTTTACTTGACATGGGGTTGCCTATTAAGCTTCTTTTTTATTATTAAGCATGTGTTTATTACAAGCACAAGAATGTCTAAAATGAACAGTTCTGAAGTACTCACTCCATCCCATAATATAAGACATTATTACATCCAATATGTGAGGGAGTACTAACATACTGTATTTCACAAAGATAATCATAAGGTTTGTGCTTTCAAAATTACCTGAATCAACTGATTACGGTGATTATCAAGCTGCAGAAAAGAAGAAGGATTAAGTGGTGTTCCAAGGGTGAAAAGGTCCGCATCAAGAACACATACATTTTACTAGGAACCTTACCTGAATGTTAATATAATCTTCTGTGTCATCAATATACTCTCTCAGCTGAAAAAGAAGTTGCAGACAAATACAACATTAACAAAATGCCAAATCCCAGATTTTAAACAAGGCTTAACAGAACTTCAGCGATACTGTTAAGATAAGTCCTGATTTTGATAGCCTATTATGATATTGTGTACTTGACTTAGGTGCCCCAACTTACCGTTGTCAATTTGTTTATTGTGCCATCTATCTGCATGAAATATGCCTGCAAGTATATGTAAATTTCAGTACTCTGCCAGAGATAGTGTAACCAAGAGATTTTAAGGCCGAGGAGCAAATAACAACCTCCAGCAACATCTCCAGCTCTTCCACATCATTCTCATTTCCATGTATAGTTGCTGCACTGGCTCTACTAGCTCTTGATATTTTTGAACCAATAGTTGGGGATGCTGGGAACCAATTTGGTCCACCGGAACCACTGACAGGGGATGATGCCCCGGCCAACTTTCTAGACAAGTAAAGATCAGCCATGTCATCGTCATCATCCAATAATTGTTCAAGCTCATCTCTCACCTAGAAATTAAAATACACCTTGTGATATGCTAGAAAACCATAAACAAGGAAAATAATCATAGCAGTCCATAGTAGCTAAAATTCTTGTCTTAGATCTGTCTAGATACGGATGTATCTAATACTAAAACATGACTTGATACATCCGTATTTAGACAAATTTAAGACAAGAATTTTGGGACGGAGGGAGTATACTATAATATATATTCCAAGACAGAAATAACATAGAGAGCATACTCATCCATGAGAATGTATAGTATCAGAGGAAAAATATTAGCTGGAGCACTATATAGATTCTGGAACAACTCGCGAATCCCAAGGTTGCGTGAAGGAAGACAATTCCATCCCATCAAGCTTTTTAAGATACACACAAAGGGCCGGAGACAATACATAGAAAAGCTAAGATAATGTTCCAACAAAGTATGCAAGAGAATAAATAAAAATGTACAGTTTAAGCAGCGATTAGAATAAAAATAAAAATAAACAGAATTAATTCTACATTATGAAATATAGATATACCATCTGGTATTAGAAATGCACTTCCAGATGTTTTGGGTTGTTAAATTCTGTTCTAAATAATCACTTGGGTACATTAATTACGAATCAGATATGATAGACAAGGGAAAAAGGAAAAGCATGGCGATGCCCATCAGACATTCAGAACTGTATGGCCTCTTTAATTCACATGACTCGCACATAATCGGAATTTGGCTTATACACGGTAGTGGAATTCAGATGACAATATGACATACAGAACATCATAAGAAGTCAGTGCTTGAAAATATACATAGAAGTCACTAAACACTGAAGTGTCAGATAACAAACTAAATGAAACAGAATGAACAGGAAACCAGACCTTCTGGACCCTTGCAGTCAATCTCGTCATGCCACTTTTTAACTTCCGTACCTTGTCCAAGTTGTGGCTACTAATCTGTTGTGCCAATAGTAGAGAAAATTAATATGGAGAAAATAGAAGAACAAGCCAATAAAGAGTTTGGAGATATTTTAGCCTGACATGCTTTCAGGGGTGCATGGAAAATTAATAAGCATATGAAGGCATTTACACAGATAGGTGTGCTAATGTGCTATATTATTCCTCAATGAAACTTTATGTTATCATAAGTTTTCAACAAGCCAACAAGGACGATAATTTAGCCTGGTGTGCTTTAATGGGTGCATGGTAAGTTGCTAAGCATATGAAAGTGTTACAGAAGTAGGTGTGCTAATGTGACATTTTATTCCTCAATAAAACATTATGTCATCATAAAGTTCTGCAATGCTATTCTAGCTACTACTGTATTATGTTTGGTGGTGAATGAAAATCTTATGGCAGACTGACTACCTGTTATTAATAAGAGTTATAAAGAGTAAATAACACTTTCTAGCGTTTTCTAGCATGCACTCCTTTCAGAAGTAAAGTGCACTGCCTAACATCTTAATCTTATTCTCACCATATAATTCTACGGACAGTAAATGGATCCTGAAACATATATGACCAAAAGTGGCGTATAGGAGAAATGAGATACCTACTATGACATATTTCGATCATTCTATGAAAAAGTTCCTACTCAACAATGTTAGCACCATAAAGTAAAGTAGAGTAAGCATGTACTTACTCACCTTGGATGTCAGGTCATCCAAAGCTGGGTAAGCATTAGTCTCCAGCTCAGTAGTGCGCGCATCAAGAAAGCTGCAGATTGCTTCCAAAGTAACCTCAAGTGCACGGAACTCAAAGGGAGATTCTGGTGTTCATATAACGAGATTGCAGGGCATGAAAAAAATGTGCATAAGTATGCAACCCTATTTCCATGGATATGAATTAACGATAATTGGCAACTAAACCAGAAATAAAGAAGCAATAAAATCAGTAAGATCGACACCACTATTCTGGATCGAGGGTATGGTTATACAAATGTACCAGCTGGCATGAACCAGTCGGACAGAAAATATGCTTCTGAGTCATTTTGATCAAAGAATCAGGATGACACAACAATTATCATATATATATATATTATATACAACATACCAAGTGAAAAAGTGGTAGCATTGTTGTAAACAATCAGAATGACACCATTACTGGTCTGTATGACTGTCACCATGTGAGTTAAATTAATCAGACATGGGTCCGGTTGTAACCTATAATAAAATGTAAAAGTCCTTTGGTCAACCATAGTAATCCTTATTAAAAGGAAGGGTAGCCACATGTCACCACTAGATCAATATTGTAGTATCTCAAATTTCTCTCAACAGATTACCCGGTGAATAAAATTGTATAACATAGAGTATCATGCAGTGTAATTGGTCTAGTACAAGAAGACTCAGATAAGCATCACCATATAATAGTAAGGTGCCAAGACTGTACACTTTGGAGTTTTCTTCTTGGACAGGTGGTTGTATTTTTGCCAAAAGAATGTCCAACTGACATGGACATGCACTAAAAAAGGAATACAACAGAACAGTGTGGCCAACTGGCGCATCCCAATCGGATTTTTATTCAATAGCTTTCTTTCACATGTTTGCATTCCTTCAGAACGTTTTTGTTCCTTATTTGTTCCAATTATTGGGCATGGAAGGGAAATTGGCATACTACACATGGACATATGTGATAGAAGTTACTACAATCAACATTACAGAGATAGAGCAACCTGACAAAAAGAGAGCATGTTCTCAGCTTCTGACATCTGTAATTTCAAGAAATGGCGACTAAACTTACCATCTTCTTCAGCAGCTTCCGCATCATGCTGGCCACTTAAATTATCCTTTCCATCATGCTGAGCAGAACTTGAAGGTGCTAGTCGTCTCCGGAGCTCCTCTACAACAGGAATAACATTTTCATCTGAAGGATCCCTGAGCAAAACCTGAGCCCAGCAAAAACCAATAACTGTGAGTACGTACATCACCAACATTGCTGGACAACTAAGAATATATTTAGATGCACACAGTTCTATGAAACAAGCCATGGCTCCCAGAATATTGTGTAGCAAACTGATTTGAAACTTCCATTTTGCAGGTAGAGGTTCAAAATTGACAGATCACGTCAAATTCAGCATGGTATGGAGGATACGCTTGTTCCATTTTGCTCCAGAACAACATAAAAAACCCAGATCCCCTGCTAAATATTTCACAATTATAGATACCTAATCATTCTAGTCAGAGACTGAGTGAAAATGTGCATATACTCATTGTTCCATTTTGCTCCAGAACAGTATAAAAAACCCGGTTCCCCTGCTAAATACTCCCTCCGTAAACTAATATAAGAGCGTTTAGATTACTAATTTAGTGATCTAAACGCTCTTATATTAGTTTACAGAGGGAGTATTTCACAATTATAGATGCCTAATCATTCTAGTCTGAGACTGAGTGAAATTGTGCACATACTCCCCACAAAATTCATGAAGTAGTCCAGCTCATGAGAACAAATAATTGAAAAATACTACCATGACAAGTATTCGACAGTGAAAAAAGACTAGGCAGTTAAGATCACCTCTTCAGAAGTAACGATCGCCTTTATGTGCTGATCCACCCGCCGATAAGAGTTCCACCAAAACAGACAGAAGAGTCGTCAGAGATTACCACGAGCTAATGAATCATGAATATCACTATATTGTCAGATACAAAAATACTGGCAGCTGTATCAACTCCTTTGATCCATGGAAACAGAACGCCGACACCACACTAAAATCGTCAAAACGAACGATTAAACTATAATAAGTTCAGTACACACGTCTACTACAATTGAGTCAAAACGCAGCACCAATCTGATGCCCAAATCATCAGCACATGATCCACCTAAAAAATCCTCAACCAGAAAAGGAAAACCGAGTGACTTCCTGGAGGAATTCGTGCCGCTCCATGATCCCCTCCATCTAGCGAAATTCCCGACGAAAAACACAGCGCCGCGAATAATCGACCGCGCGATTCCGCCCGGAAAGGGGAACAAAAACTCAAGGCCTGCGGCGGGAGGGCCTCACCTCGAGATTGAGCACGATGGCGCGCTCGCGGCCGAGGATGGTGGAGGGGTAGGAGAGCAGCGGGTCGAGGATGCGCAGGTCGCGCGCGTTGATGTCGACGCGGTGCATGATGGCGTACTTGTCAGCGTCGAGCTCCCGCTCCTCCCCCGCCGCGTCGAACAGGATCCAGCTCCGCGACGCCGCCCGCTTCTTCGCCGCCGCCAGCGCCGCCGCCGCGGCCTCGCCGCCCGCCGCCGCCACAGCCGCCGCCATCTCGCAGCGGGCAGTCCTCTCACATCTCCGGGGGCGCCCTGCCTCCTAAGCCGCCGCCGCCGCCGCCGCCACCACCCCCCACGTGGACGGCGGGATGCGTTCTACCGCGCGGCTCTCCCTTGCCCTTTTAATCGCGCGGAAAGGAGGAAGGCTTTCTGGTGACGCGGGCGGGTAAAAAAATCGCGAGGAGGCCGGGGACGGGCAGAGACGCCGCCTGGTCGCTTGATCCTGCGTCCGCGCGTGGTAGGGCGGAGGCGGATGACCTGCTGGGGATCTGTTACTAGTAGTTGGGAAGCAGAGACGGGGGAAGGGGGCCCGTCTGTCAGAAGAAGAATGACCCTTTTTTTTAGGAAAAATAATAACAGCGGAGAGTGGAATAATATCACGGTTGTGTTAGGTTTTCTAACTGCATAATCGTTGCCAGATCCTTTTTTCTTTGACTTTTTAGTCATTTATTACAGTACTAATATAAGGCCCTCCTGCCACCAACCTCCAGTCAACCTTAGATTTAGAAGAAGAAACATCCGGTCAACATTCCTAAAAATAATCAAGTCAACCTCAAGGAAAGTAATCGGTTTCTATACAACTTTGTCAAAAGGGGCCGTGTGCATGTTTGGGTGGAACTCACATTCACCCTGGCAAAAAGTTATGCTTGGCAAGGGTTTTTTTTTTCTGATTTTTTAGTTGGTTTTGAACTGATGCTTGACAAGGGTATTTTTTCCTGATTTTTAGCCATCTCATCTGTAATTTGGCAGTAATCCAAGCAGATGCCACTAGAGTCTATAACCATGTTTGTCAAATTTGACTCTCTAAACGTTTATGGACGCGTCCGCGAAGAGCATGGGCTCGCCCCTCATATGTCCATGTCTGCAATCGTCCCCCTCACTCTCCACCCTAAAATCCATACAAATTCATGCAACGTTGGTCGAGTAGTAACCAAGATTATACATAAACACATGGAGGATTCATCACGGTATCGGGCAACCAAATGATCATACGGTTTCATCACTAAGTTTGACGTTGACCAATGAAAAGGGACACTACTTCGTCATATTATTAAGTATTCTTTTTTCTCTATTTACAAATGGAATAGAATAGCCCGGTTGAAGGTAATGGTTATACGTCTGTAATGCATTGTATGGCCTAGAATAGATCCTATTCTTCTACCTTTTCTCATATGGTAGAATTCACAATCGCGGCACCTTGCAATCCCCATGCCGTCTTTGCAGTGGCCGTAGTACATGGCGAAGACCGCGTCGGGGTCGTCGTCGAAGGAGCTGGAGGAGGGGGGGGGGGCAGCCCGATGAGACGTCTGGTGGCACGGGCCTGCTCCGCAGCGAGGTGGCGGCGTCAACGGTGGCCGCCACTTTCTCAGACGTGCGGTCCATGGGGAACAGCGCGGAGTGCTCCACCCGCAGCTACATTCACCCCGTCGAGCGGTGAGACGGTGCAAAACTCGCAAAGTCACCCTTGTCCACCCAGTAGTGGTGGAGGGAGAGCTCCTCGTCAGGCGATGTGGAACTCAAGTCCTCCACTGCGAGCCCATCCCGGTCGATTGGGTTCACCTCACTGCCGTTGTCGGAGCCAGCTATGCTGGAAAGGAGGACGACAAAGAGGGGAGGGGAGGGAACAGGATGAGAGCAGAGTAGAGCAATCGAGAGTGACTATGATTTGGTTCGGGTGGGTATGTGTGGGATTGAACTGGGTCAGACTGGGCAGTCTTCCCCATATCCACCCCCATATATGTGTTGGGTTTGGGGGGTGCCGAAAAGTCCGAACGTTTGGGCTGGCTATGAAGGGTCCTGTTGGGTGGATCTGTTCGAAAGTGGTTGGGTTGTTCGCCCAGACATTTGAGGAGGGTTTGAGGAGTCCATTTATTTTTTTATCTTAGTTATGGCTACCAAATCAGTATAACTTTAGTTTGACATCATTCAAATATATCAATAATGACACCAATTAGGCATGTACCTCGTAATTTGTGTATAGGATATCTTCTTTCATCCATTTGTTTTCATAGTAAAAGTCACGTAATCAATGAAGTGGCAAAACCAAAAAGGTAGTAAAACTTTTGCATTTGCCCAAAGAACCATCAGCTTAGAAAGAAAAAAAACTCCAGACGGGAGAATCGTCTGAGCATGATGCCAATGCCTATTACCTACCTTCGGCACCATCACAGTAACCACCAAAAAAAATCGTGACAGATCGCCTTTTCACCCAAGCTCGGCGCGGTCCATCATGTACATGCGGCTATTTGTACCTCAAAAGTAACTTACCAAAGACAAAGTTATTGTCGTCGAAAGAATCTAGTTGGGGCAGTACTCCGGACACGTCATCGAACTTTAGATTTGACACCCCTGCTTGAAGATGATGTCAAAGGAAGAAACCATACCTGCCAACCGCCAACTACGAACCCACCACATGATCCACCCTCTTTCAGTTGTTGTCGATGCAGGCCACTATATGCATCCTCTCCTACACTACCTCTTGAGCTCTATGTCGACGCCGGAGCAAATGTCGTCGCATGAGTACACAATTCCATCATAGGGTGGTTGTCGTTGTCACGACATCCTCGTTGAACAGACTAGCAACCAGATTCATCACCCACCAATGAGTAGAACGCCGTGTCAAGGAAGAATAATTTGAGGCATTATTATTCTGTGCAGCCATCACCCTTGCCAAAGTCATGACGTCGAACAGTCAAAAACCTAACCTGCATGATCCGTACACATGTGAATCCTTTCGGCGACCCCCTCACCACCAACGACCGGGAAGCCGTTGGCGAAGGGGAGCTGCCAAAGGACGCACAAGAAGATTGTTCCGATCAAAACCCTAGCCGTCGCCACAGGTTAGGGTCTCAGGGAAAAAGAATTCCACCCACCCATTGGTTTGAGGTACCGGCTCTTGCTGCAGTGTTCTGCGTGGTGTCGCTGCGTACGGTCATTTTCAATGCTGCTTAATATTCGACGAGTACACATAGTACGTATTCCTACATATGGCGACCTGTACGCCTGTGCGGTGTGACGGACGGTGGTCCCAGGCCCGCTCTCCACGACGTCGCGCGGCAACCAGAGCCGAAGGTTGAATTCACCGAACCGAGCCGCGCGTACGGGATGCCATGCCGGGCGCGGATGGCGACGCGGGCGGCCGGTGGCGCTGGCGCTGGTGCTGGTGCTGGTGCTGGTGCGGCACGCGTGTTCTTTTCCCGGGTACGGTGGGGAGGGCATCGAATCGGATGCCGTCGCCACGCGCCGCTCGCGTCCATGGGCGCGGGCGGTCGACCTCGTTGGACCACGCGTTCCCCGCCGCGCGCGCCGCACGGCACCCACCTCACCTGCGCCGCCCGGATCCTGCTCCGCTGTCCTCCCCCCTTTCGCGTCCGTCCATCCAATTCCGCAGTCCCGAGCGCCGCGCCGCCACGTACGACCCCGCCTCCGCCTCGTGCCCTCGCGCGCCGTGCCCGTGCCCGGGCCTGGACGCGTACGTACGTGTGCCCGGCGCGTACGTCCAACGTGTAGGGCTCCCTCCGCGGCCGCTTTGCTCGTGTGATCGGTGGGCGTCGCGCTCCGAGACGTTGACGCTGGCTCAGCCAGAGCCCGTGACCGTACGTGCGCTCCATCAGCGGCGAAGAGCGACCGGTCGCGCGGCCGGGTCGTACTGTGCTGTACCGGCATCTTTTTTCTCCGTCCGTTGATCCGGTCGGCCCGATTCTGGTTCATGGTTTGCTATGGCGGGTGCGCTGGTCTTTTCCTTCCGCCTGCTGTGGACCCTCCGCGAGTATACAACGCGAAATGCAACACAACTTGCCGTAAACAGTGTTTAGTGTAGTCGGGCCGTTTTGTGCGCCGACGTCGAGTTTTTCCCATAGGTTACGTGTAGATGAATGACCTCACACTGGATCGAGTGCCTAAAATATGTTGACACAAGATGCAAGCCTTGGCAGAGGCGCCCGGGGGATCTTACAAGATTCCACTGGTCTAAACTAAGTCAGATACAGCTACAGTAAAAAATGAAAACAAAAAGATACAGCTAGTGAACGTCTGATTTTTTTTAGTGACACTAGTGAACGTCTGACCGTCACGTACATGGAAACATACAATTTGTTGGCATAATCGGTACAAGGAAACACAGAAACTAAACTGTCTGCACGTCAACTTTCCTAGTACTGGTACGGTATGGAAGACAACAGCCTTGCATGAACGTGACCGTTCGGCGGACTAAAGAAGGAACGATGCTGCCGGTGTGGTTCCGAGAAATGAGTGGTGTGGCGTTACAGCATGAGAAATAATATGCTTTTTTTTGCGGAGAAATAATATGCTGACTCCATGTATGGTATAAAAAAAATAGTTTGAGCTCAGCCAGCTACTACTTTATTTGGATTTGATTTTTTTAGGGTCACCACATTTTATTTCTCTCCCTAATAATAATAATAATAATAATAATAATAATAATAATAATAATAATAATAATAATAATAAAGCACGGATTGACTCCGTGGGTTCACCGTCACAATATGCTTTCTTCTCATGTCATAATACGATTTTACGATTTATATAGACAAAATCATAATATAAACGAGGTGGTACTAATTTGGGGAACCGTTTGTAGTTTTGACCGTCGTCAAAATTTCTGTAGTTCGGCACATCGCTGCTTTGGGCCGGCCCACGCCGGGTTCTCCGCACGCACACGGCACACAGGTCTTACAATTCCTCTACAACTTGGTCCTAAAAAAATATACAATTCGTCTACAGCTGGGACACCCCCGAGCAAAGTAAAAAGGGGATCGATGGAGTTTAGGTCGCGTCCTCCCCCGCCCAGATCGCTGCTCCCACCGATTTCGCAACCTACCGGCGGCCCCTCCACCACCCGTTCCCATGATCCCCAACTCTCGCAGCCGTCGCCACCACATCTTCCAACGGTCCCTTCGATCTCAGATACGGTCGACAGGGAACACGCGCGGCCGCTGAAGGCTAGACGCGCGGCGGTGCTGTGGCTAGAGTTCC